CCAGTTTCTCAGCATGCAAAGTCTGAACTACAAAGAAATAAAGGGCTAGGTTTTCTTTTCATTTATTTTTCTCTTTTTGATTTTTTTGAAAAGAAAAACCAAAAAAGCACAAAGTATAATATACAAATGCCCATATACAAATCACAGAAAAAGTGAATAATTGTTAACACTTTGCCATATTTGCATCAGGATCTTTGTTTGTAAGAAATGAAGATTTTAGGTAAAGTTTTAGTTCTCTTTGCTTTGCTTCCATTCCCTTGTTTCTGAAGGCTGCTACTCTAAGGAGTTGTCAAGAATCCTTCTAGCAAGTCTTTTCAGAATTTTGCTATGTATAAGTTGTAGTAGTATATACAATACATATATTTACTGTATGTTACAATATACACTACTATAAAATATACTATTTAGTGTTATTTTGTATATTTGGGAGTTTTAACAAATGGTATCATAATCAACAATCTGCAACTTGATTTTCTCAATCAACATTGTTTTTGGTCTTTATCTGTATCAACTGGATCTTAATACAAACAGGTCTAGTTCATTAATTTTAAGCGTTGTATACTATTTTACTGAATAGATACACCACTATTTATTCTTCTGATGGTGGTATTTCTGTTATTTCTGATTGTTGGCTGTTACAAACAATGCTGAAATTTATGCCCTTGAACTATCAGAGTTTCATTGGGGTCATTTCCTAGAAGTGAAATTGCTGGGTCATGTGATATGTGCATTGTCAACTTTGTTTGGGCATTGACAAAATGTTTTTCAATGTGACTGTGACATGTTATACTCCTTTTCAGCAATGCTGGAACTAGCTCTCTAAAACAAATATGCCAGATATACTTTCTACAGTTTTGAGAGTTTCAACTGCTGAATTTAACCTTTTTTCCACCAGGTGTCCTGTGTGTTTCTTTGTGTGTATCTCTCCTGCCTCTAAAGGTCTGGCTTCCTTAGATAGAACGGAGCAAGTGTGAGAACTTTTTTGTTCATGTTCATTTGGAATAAACGGCACAATTTCTAGCAAAACTTGGTTGTATCCAAGTGTTCTTTCAGAATCTTTAACTTGTTATAAATTCAGCTTCTTGCCTTCATTTTCACTATTTGAATGAATACAACTTCTGACCTTTTCCACATTTTCGTAGGTCCTGAGGGGGTTGTCGAAACACTTTGTGCATGATTTTTTATATTTTTCTGCTTAACTCTTTTGAAAGGTAATAAAAACAAAATAACTCTTGGTCTTGGCATTAGTTCGTCTCCTTAAATTTCTTAAGTTTTTAGGCCTATCAGGTATCTAACTTAAAATTTCGTTTTAGTGTCCCACAAATGTAGATGATCATGCAACCTCCAGGAACAACTTCCCAACCTTCTAATTGTTGCTGCTACTCTAGACTGAAACATGCAAAGCATTTCCCCACTTGTAGTTCCTTCTCTCCTACCTGGAAGCACATGGCCTCTGTCTGATAGTTCAGTTACATGCAGATTTTTTTTTTTTTAAACTGAGCTCTTAAATGGAAACAAAGTTGAGCTAATGATGGAGAATAATGATAGGGCCCCAATTAGTCCCTAGAGCTTTTCTGAGAAGTTGTCTTTAGTTCCTATTTAGGATTCACATTTGGGTATCCTGTTTTTTCCCCTAGTTTTGTTCTCATTACATTAGAGGAATGAATAGAAAGAAGCCCCAGAGCCCTCTGTTGCTCTTTCAAGAGTTTAAATTTTAACCCTTAACAGCATAGACCAGAAAGAGCTGAGAATTGTCCTGAGCCAAGTGCAAGGGCACTGTGTTTGGGCTCCCTAAAGAACCTTGGTAGGTGGTGCTGGTCAGATTAGCGTGATAAGCACCCTTGTGGAAATCCCATGTGCTGTAAATGTATGTTGTCACGACTTGACATTTATAACATTTATGAAGTTTGTATTTATTTTTATTTTTTATTTTTGAAGGAGTTGCATGAGATGGATAGAATCAGATTTGTGTTTTGAAAGATCACTCTGGGTACAGTTTAGAGAATAGGTTGGAGTGGGCCTGGGAGGCTCAAGGAAGATGAGTTAAGGGACTCCTGCCATACTTCAGGTGAGAAAGGAAGCTCATTTGAGCTAGGATGGTAGGAGTGGAGAGGGAGAAATGGATGCACTGGAAAAGTACTTAGGAGACCAATTCAACAGGATTTGGTGACGGCTGGGCTTTGGGGGCTGAGGAAGAGAGCACTATCAAGGTTGAATGAGTTTCTTCAACTCCGGGTATGCAGTTACACGATTTAAGTAGGTGCATGGGGTTCGTGTCACAGGTCCATGTGAAATATTGTAATATCAGTATTAGCTGAAGCCAGGGAAGCCCAACCTTGTGCCATGTGCTACATTGTGTGATATTTGGGAGAAGCCTGACAAATAGTCATCTACTTTCCTCAAGGCAAGTAACAGTTTGCATCAGGTAGGCAAAAATTGTAGGTTTCCTTGTAGTCACAAAATACTTAGTCAAGGAGATTATTGCTGAAACAAGAGTGTAGAGGAAACACTTTTTACATTCATTTTCAAGATGGACTGGTTAGTGGCTAGTGTTCAAATGAACTAACGCTCGAGATAGCCCTGACTACATATTAATGTTAGAGAGTTCTACTTGGCTGTTGAAGACACTGGCTAGAAGCACAAGGGAGGATTGTTGCATGTACTTCTCAAAACACTCCGTAATAATTTTAACCAGCAGTCCTTATGGAAGGTTTGTTCGTGGGGGAAGGGTTGAGCAGGGGCTGGGTGATCAAGATTTTTTACTCCATTAAAGATCAACAGTAACGTGAAAGGAACTGAATGGTTTTGTTCAATGTTGCATTGGCTGTCAACAGCAGACTCAGAGTTGAGATTCTGAATCTTAATCAGCTTCCTGAAAAAACAAAAACAAAACAAAAAAACACAACAGAAACAGCTACCATGAAATTAGACCTAAATACTATGTCTGTCATTAGATTGCTCATGTAACAGATGTATTCACCGCGTGAAATGTTTCCATTCTGTGCCATTATCCCTAAACTGGTAATTTAACCAAATCATTAGCCTTAAATATAATTGTATTAGTACATTTTTGTTGTTATAACAGAATACCTGAAACTGAGTGATTTATTTAAAAAAGGAAATTTATTGCTTACACTTTCTGAGGCTGGGAAGTCCAAAGTCCATCTGGTGGTGGCAACAGTGACCCAGGGGTCTCACATTGCAAGATGGTGGAAGCAGAGAGAAAAAGACAGACACTACTCTCCTTTTAAAGTCCTCAGAACCACGCCCCTGACCACCCTTTTTTATGCATTCACTACTGCACCGTCCTACAACCCAGTCATCTCTTCAAGGCTCCACCTTTCAATTACCACAATAGGATTTCCCACCCTCTTAACAGTCACAGTAGGAGCCCAGTTTCTAATCCATAAAACTTGGGGGACACAATTCAAGCTTCAGGGAATTTGGGGGGGACAAAATTCAATCCACTACAATAATATAATCCAGAAATCCCTTCATTCTTCTTGTACTAAATTAATAATCAACTGTGATCACTGCAGTGTGTTTATCCAGTCATAACTTCTCAAACAATTGTCTTTATTAGATTAATTTTTGTCTTTTATTTGAGGCAGTTAGTGGAAAGGTTGGGGGTGGAGAGGAATGAGTTCAAGAAAAACAAACCAAAAAAAAAAAAAATTAGCTGTTTTAAAATGACTGGTGATAGTAAAAAGAAATTGTTGTCACTAAGCCCTTTGGTCTCCCAGAATAGAAATACTGAGCTAAATTAATATGAATGACCATACTAACTTTAGGGCCTAAATACAACCAGTGAGGCTCCCTGTAAGACTTATTCTCCATATCTATTAGGAAAGGAAAAGTGGGAAGGCTGACTAGCAAGAATAAGAGACATGATTTCTCAGGATACTCTGGAGGACACCTCAGCAGCTACCAGAAAAAGGATCCTACTGCTGATTATATTTGAAAGGTCCAGTTATACCATGGTCCTGAGAACTGTACCCCTAAGAAACTCTTTTAACTGCCTCTTGCTTCCTGGACACCCTGAGGACTGGGGATGACCTTCTAGAATTGCTGTGGATATGCAACCCCCTTATCTCCCACTCCTCTAGATACATCATCCCCCGAGGTGCCCTGGATCTGAAGAGGTTTCTGGAAGAGAGAGCTATCATCTCTGCTGTTAGCACCAACTTCAGTTTTGCTTGGCTAGCTAGTTGTTTTGCATAAGACTTTTTGTCCCATCCATATTGCCTGGTTTGAAGTGGATTTCATTTTCTTGAATGATATCTTGAAAGAAGATCTAATTGAGTTGACCTAAGGCAATAATAATTAGACCAACTTCAGTTAAGAAATTTAAGATCCATAGGAAACAGCTATTTTTTTCTTTCCCTTTTTGAGGGTCTCTCTTTTTTGATGACTCCTCTCCTAATAGTTTCAGGTCCTGACAGCTGAAGTCCTACATCTTCTGCGAGGTGAGAGTTCATTTATTTCATCCGAACCAGTCTGTTTTACCAGTTCTTTACAGCTCCATTACTCTCCAGCTGCCTTCTGCTAGGTATCTCCCAGCTTGTTGAACAGCCGGTTACTGCCTCTCGAATGTCTTCAAACACTTATGTGTTTGAGACTGGGGGCTCTTATGTGGATATTCCAACCATGTCAGTGTGGCCTCTCCTTTCAGCTTGCTTTGTTTATCCAGCAGCTCATTACTTAAGACTAGCCTGTCAAAATAGGTTAAATATTCTTTGGGAAATATGGTCACATCCTTGAGATACCACAAATATGTTTAATACAGGGAAGATTGGCTTGATAAGAAAAATGTGATTGACTTGCATCACCAAAACATATTTTCCTGTTATTCCGCTTGAGTTTCCACAAGCATCAATAAGCATTAGCAAACCTAAGGGCAATAAATTTCTGCAGCCAACACATAAAGACACCAAGGGAAGCAGGGAAAATGATTGCTGATGATTCGTTCTAACTACTTGACCTTCTGACCTCTTCTCTAGATATATGACCAAGATGGGACACTACAGCACTTTATTGATGGTGGGGAACCTAGTAAGTCGAGCTGGATGAGGTATATCCGATGTGCAAGGCACTGCGGGGAACAGAATCTAACAGTAGTTCAGTACAGGTAAAGTATATCTTGATTTACCACCTACAGGGCTGAAGCCCTGGGCTTGCGTATACAAATTCAGGCTTGCTGCTAGTGGTTGAAAAAGTCCTGCAGAACTCTGCAAGGACTGGCAGATATTTTTATGCTAGGTTTCTGAAACATCTTTAGTTCTTATGGCAGTAATTTCATGAGCATTCAGGAATAAAGGTGCTGGTAGATGGCTTCTTTCACTCAGTGCACGTGGTAAGTTTACTCTGTGTCATTGCTTGAAACTTCACAGTAGCCTTAAGGAGCCCAGCAAACCCACTGACTCAGGGTGATTTCGCCCAGCACATGTGTACACACAAATAAGTAGGATTTCAGAGATTCAGCCTAAATCCCTTGCTTCCAGTACCCTTCAGGCTGTTCCCCTGAGGGGACAGTTTGCTTTGCACCAAGGCATGGGAAACCAAGAGCTCTCAACCTTCCCAAGGCTGCCCTTCCAAAACTCTTATGCTCAGCAGAAATGACTGAGCCAGGGTGACCTCTCCTGCTCCGTTGAAAGGTGCCAGCGTAGTTGGGTTTGGCCTTTTGGCAATTCAGGATATGTTTCAGGTTATGAGGTGGTTCCTGAATATAGAAAAGTCCCCTGTGACCCAAGATATGTAGGCAGAGCCCGTAAGGGTAACAAAGGCAGGATGGAACCATCCCCATTTCCTCTGGGGAGCTGAGAAGCAGGTGGATTCTCAGGATGCTGAACCACATCTTCTCAGTGCACCTGCTGCCAAGCATTTCCACTTAGTGCTGAAGAAGGCTGGAGTGGAGATGAGAGGGCAAAAACAAATCAAATAGCAAAAAAGCCCTACCACTAAGCCTTCTTTTTTCCAAATCCCTCGAAAACATGTGCCATATAAATATATGACTTCAGTTATAAACAACCGTGTTCCCTTTAGAATCAGAAGCAACTGTTTAGCTTTATTAGGCACATCAAAGTGGAGGGCTCTGTGCTTGACAACTTGGATTCCTGCCTATGGCTATTTATTTTCTTTTCCCTTTTTTGCTTTTTTTTTCTTTTTAACTTTCTTCCCCTTATAGGTTAAAGTCTGCACAAATCTGGCTTGCTCTCTGAAGGTCTCCAATTCAAAAGGAACATACTTGGCAATACGTGACTCACGGCCTTGGTTTCCTATGCCACTTTATTTCATTAAATAATGGTTCAAATGAAATCGTGCAAGATGGTATTTGGTTACACTGCTGTGTAACAGTGAGTTATACTTTGAGCTAGAAAATTAGCAAAGATTGTGCTTGTCCATTCAGCAAGAGATAGTTTAGCTTGTTCAGTAATGAGTACCCAGGGAGCTCTTGAGGCAAATTCTGAATTTGGAAAAATAAGAAACCCCAAAGAGGAAGGTGGGCATGAGTAAGTCATTACATATCTGTCAATATTAAGTGGATTTTACAACTCCCCTTTCATGATGGCGCTTAAACTACAAGTTCTCTCCCCCGATCTGTTTTCGATTACTTCAGATCTTTATAAAATGAACTACAAAAACACAATTTTAAAAACTGGCATCCATCACCGGTGACCATGTCCAAGAGTAAGAAAATAGAAAAGTTGGACCCTAAAGAGCCAGCCTAATTTTTATTGCACATGAATGTCCTCTTCACAAAAAGTCAGCTGGTTTAAATTCATTCTGTTATGATTTGTAATATCTAAATGGAATTTTCTTCAAAGCACCCTTGATTGATTGACCCTTAGCTGAACGTTTTGTTTTTATTTTGAGGCTGACAATAATGTTTGTTGGCATGTGTTCTGCTTCAACTGCGTTGGGACGCCATGAAGCTATCTTTATGAGTCATCCAACCACAATACTAAATACATGTCAGCAAAGGAAATATTATCTGAAAAGGGAAAAATCCCTTTGATGTGCTTCAACATGCAGAGATTTCTGCGAGTTTTGGAAGCTCTGCCCGCTTGTAAGGAACGGTGTACGCTTACACATTTCCCCCCCTTTCGGCATACTCTGTGCCTGAGAAGACCACCCATCGCTCGAAAACAGTTCTGCTCTTTCAGCGGCAAAGTGTGTCATTTGGTTTTAGCACATTCATTTGCCGGGCGCTGTGTTTATATTAAGAGAAGCCAAACCGAGAGATGAAATGTTACGAGGGTGAAGTACAAAGTAGACTCAATTTTTCTCAAGTTAGGAGATGCCAGTGATTTATAGCGCGGCTCCAATTTTGATTTTTTTATGTAGCAGTGGAAAGAATTAATAAAATACACAGCTCTTAGAGATGCAGAGGGAGGAAGGGTGGTGAGGCTGGACAACTGGCTGGAGTTTTTGTCAGATATTCATAGAATGTTGGGAAAAACATTCTGCTTAGCTAGCAGTGCCCTCGTGAGACAGAATGGCAGCAAGTAAGGAAAATAACAAGATAAATGAAATTTTTGCAGCTGCAAGTAAAATATTGAGAATCTGCACTTTTTTATTGATCTTTATGATCCTATTGCCAAGAGCCACTTTGTGGTGACAAAATATGTTGACAAGTGCATATCTCACTGCCATGAAAAATGTGGAGAAGGATTTGCCTTATGTCTGCAGTGTTATACAAGGAACAAATTGCCCTGCTACAGCCAATTCCTTACAGAAAGGCAAAATTTAAGGCCCACCAACCCTACGCACTTTTATCTTGAACTGAGGCTAATATTTGCAGCAATTTTTCATTGAGAAAACCAGTTGCAGTCTCCTGATTTTTTTTTTAATCTGTAGATTTTTCTTTACAGTACCAAAGTTGCTATAAAAAAATGTTTATTTCTTGGTACCTTCACTGTATCATTTCAGAGTGTAATCTTTCAGCCAGGGTAAAGTGCTCCTCTTGTATTTATTGAATTTCCATCCGTTTCACATAAGAGGGTTTTTCTCTTCTCCTATATCAAACTTTAGAAGAAAGGCAATAGAGAGGATTTTTATTTGTCTTAGTCTTTTCACAAAGCAGCTAAATTTTATTACAAATTTGGGAACTCGCATTGCCAAATTGCAAGAATACACTTAATGCTTTCCCATCAAATAAGAAATCAATAGTATTAATTTATATATGAGGTTGGGGGATCAGTGTCTTTGCAATTTGCCAAGAGAAAATTTTCTCATTAGTCTGAGATGGAATTTTTTTTTAGAATGAACTCTTCCTTTCTGCTGTCTCCTGGGCCAAATATCTGTCTCTTCAGCCAAGAAATTCTATGGAGGGACACTGTGGAAATAAACTGTACGCTGTTTATCGTACTGAGTTACATACAGGCTCTAATTGGTTGCCGGGGATAATAAGGTGGGTGTAGATTTATTACAAACAGAAACTGTTTAGGTGGAGCTGGGCAGAACTTTTTTGGGGCAATAAAATTGTGGATGGGGGCACATGAGTCCTACTTATTACTAAGCTGGGTTTTCTTTTGTTTTGAATAGGTCGAATATATTCTACCGAGCCTGTATAGATATCCCCAGGGGCACCGAGCTTCTGGTGTGGTACAATGACAGCTATACGTCTTTCTTTGGGATCCCCTTACAATGCATTGCCCAGGATGAAAACTGTAAGAATTTATTTTAGCTCTGAATTCACATCTCAAAATACCTATTTCAAAGCTAACTTTTTAAGAGTGTTTTTTTTTTTAAACTTCTGAAATGTGGTGCACTATGATCCATAATGCAAACATGCACAAGTCTGTTCTAGCGTTTTCTTTTCCCTGTATGTTGTTTGCTTTTTCACAAGGCATTTTAATCTGTACAGGCCAGTCCTTATTTGCCTGTTCACAACTTCAAAGCCTTTTCCAGAGTTTTAAACAATTGCTGGCAGCAAAGTTAAGTCAGCTGGTATTCACTGAGCACCTACTATGTGTCTGGTTCTGTGCTTGCCGCCTCAGGGGGTTAAAAGAGCAGCGTAAGATACAGCTTCTGCTCTGAAGGGAAGCACGGTCTTGTTCGAACCACAGTGTATGCAATGAGAAATGGTGGTAAAAACCATAGATACATGACTGAGGACTCTGTGTCTTTCTTAATTTTTTGTTTAGAACCATTTAATTTTCTTCTATCTTTATCACCAAGCCAACTATTATCTTTAAAAGGATAATCTAACATCTAGGCAAATGTAGACTATATTTTTATTTTATCAATTCTCTGGGAAATATTATAAAGTGATTTCCAGTATTTGGAACAGAATTAGGCAATTCTCATGTGCCTCAGTGAGAAGCACTGGTTTCAATGATGCTGTGTTTTTCTTGTCAGGAAATTGATTAATCTATGAACTGATAATTTGATATTATGTTACAAAAAGAAACAAACAACAGATCTATTTTGTTAATGGATAAGAAACTTCATTTTGAAAAAACGTCTTATTTTCCTTTTTCCTTCTCCACTTAATTTCTCACACACATAGACTCCAATCCAAAATGTTCATATTGTTACTGATCAAAATGTGATGAACAGAAATTTCTTCCCCATGTTGTCTTTAATTTCTTTGTAAAAAGTAAACTCCTCAAAAAGTCTGTTATTAGCAACTTTCTTTTTTTAGTTTACCCTAACCCCAAACCAATCTGAAATCAAAAAAATGAATCTTTGGACTTATAGTACATTCCTCTCACTTCCCAAGTTTCCATTGGAAAGTGTCTTTTCTGCAGTGATACTCCTGTTGGAGGGAGTGTCTGTTTTCACAGGAGAAAGTCCCAGTGTTGGACATGAGTGTGTGGTTGGTGTTAGAGGCAGGTATGGACGTGGAGGACGTTGTGCTCTTCCTTGCCCAGAATGGCTCCACACTCCACCTCCCCTGGAGCTAGATCTAGGTCCCCACACAGACAAGCACGAGTGTCAACTCTCTGAAGGCTGACATGCGCCTGTCTGTACGTTGGAACCTTGACGTAACCTCACTTTCTAAACTGTGGAATTTGATCCAAAAAGATTCCAGAAATCCTGTGGAGTCCTCTGTTTCCTCCTTTAATACAACCTGCTGCAGACTCTGAAAATGTTGTTGAGAAATGTCTGGGAATAAACGAATCAAGGCCTAGAGTTTTAAAGCACATAGCACATAGTCCAGATATTCATTCATTCATCCATTACTTAGGTATTTATGGAACACCTGCCATGGGCCAGTGTCTTTGCCAGGTGCTGAGAATGCATCAGTGAACAAGACAGCCGAGAATTCCTGCCCTCATGGAGTTACATTCTAGTGGAGGGAGACAGATTATCAACAAATATATCAGTAAATGAATAGTCTGTAAGATGGTGTAAGTATTGCAGTGCTAATGAAGCAGAAGAAGGGTAAGTAGTGCCATGAGTTGGGAGTTGCAATTTCAGAGAGTGATTGAGGTGGGCCCTACGGGAGGGTGGCCTTTGGGCAAAGACTTAAGGAGGTGAAGGAACAAGTCACGTGTAACTGAGGAGAAGAGCATTCTAGGCAGCCAGACGAAAGGAGTAAAGGCTCCGAGATGGGCATGTTCCTGGCATGTTGGAAAAGTGTCACAGAGGTCGGGATGGGTGCGGTGGAGTGAGTGAGACAGGGAGAAGTTAACGTAGATATGGGTGCATGTGAGGGCGGGGATTTTGTAGGGGCCTGGAGGCCACTGTCAGGACCCTGGCTTTTACTCTGTGTGAGCCAGGCCAACAGGCTGTTGGAGAGTTGAGCAGAAGTGTAGTGTGGTCTGACTGAAGTTTTAACAGGATTACTTTGGCTACTGAGTGGAGACTAGACAGTAAGGGTAGAGCAGAGAATCCAGTGAGAGGCTCTTGCAGGAATCCAGGGGAGAGATGGTGGTGGTTTGGATCAGTGTGGACATGGTGGAGGTGGGGAGAAGTAGTTGGATTCTAAATATATTTTGAAAGAAAAGCCAACAGCATTTTCTGACACACTAGATGCTGAGAGAGAGAGAGGCAAGGATGACTCTGAGGCTTTTGTTTTGAGGACTGGAAGTATGGCATGACCCTTTACTGAGTTCTGAGACAGAAATGGAAACTGTGGAACAATTATGTAGGGGACACATTTCTGCCCTTGACATGGATCTCGGGAGTGGGAAGTCACACATCCACACGATGCCCCACCTCACAATGTGTTACCTGCACAGGAGGGATTGAGGCTTTGGGGTGGAGCATATTGGTGTCTGTGTGTGGTTCACAGCCACGTGACAACAGGAGACTAAGAGTGCCATGAAAAAATGTGGTTTCTGGAAACAACAAATTGTTTGCTTTTCAGTCCTTCTTTCTCCTACAGTCCAACCTATGTGAGGCATTCCTGAGGTTGCTGATTAAGTACTGAATAAACTCCACTAGGGTATATGTTATATCATTTAGCACCTGAAATCCCTGAAAGAAAATTTGCAAAGCCACAGCAGCTTGAAGTATTGTGGATTCATTCAGTAAGAAAATTAAGCAGCTCTTTGGGGTTCAGTTCAGAGCTCTAAGGGTTGAGGGAAGTTTAAAGGGAATTAAGTCATTGACTAAAATGCTCAAGAGTGACAATCCCCTTTCCCCCTAAGAGTATTATAGGAATTTTATTTCAGTTCCTGTCTCAGAGTCATATATCTGTCATGTGATTGGCCACCCAAGAAGAAAGCAAAAGGCTTCATCAGATAGTGTGGGGGAGATATATGACTTTAACTCTAACTCTGAGATGGATTCTCATTCCATGTGATTCACTAAGAGACCTAGGAATGCCTCATAATGAGGTTTTCCTATCCTGTGCTGAGAAAATACTCTGTGTGATTTAGAAGCACAGATGTGTGAAAGGGCATGAACAGATCATTTAACAGATAGCCTTCCACACCCCTGAGTAATTTAAATCATCGCAGCAAGATGAGCAATTCTAAGACAATTTTTATCCCACTGAGCTAGTCACAAAATAAATTAGGTACCTTAAAAAGAAGCTTTTTGAGATCAAAGACTTATTTGATAAAATGCCTCCATAGAGCCACTTATAGTGCTGTGCACACAGTAAGCAATTAATAAATGCTCACTGGATGAATTTCGATAATTTTTATTGCCATTGTCCAAAGGGATGGAATATTTCAGCCAGCCTTTTTTTTGTTAATGAAATTGATACCTGGACTAAGACATTCAAGGGAAATACGATTTTACTTAGTGAATAATACTTATGAAGCACTTTCATTTATAAAACTATGATTTTCTTCCCATGGCTCTTTCAACACTGAAAGCACACATTTCCTATTGAGTGTGTGCGGTGGGATCGGGCTGCAGTAAGTGCCCTCTGCAGGCGGTGGCCTGAAGCAGTGGGGCCACTGCAGGCCCACGCTCTGCCCCGACGAGCCACTGAAGGCCGCCTGGACTCAGAAGACAGCGTTTCACACAGGCACTTGGGCTCTGGAAGCAATTCCTTTGTTATTTTCTTTTAAAAAAATCATAGTGAAAAATGTAATAGAGTTCCAAAGAGAGAACCTCTCCATCCATTGTGGGCCTTTCCAAAGAGCCCGAAGGAACGCCCGTGTCGACAGCTTGCATCCACGGGGAGGAATGAGGTTCCCCAAAGCTTCCAGTGGGGGATTAGCTCCTGCAGAGTGCAAAGACCATAGCATATTCATATTCGTTTTGAAGGAAATTTTTTTTAAAAACCCTGGGAATAAATGTTAAACAAGTCTTCCTGCTGCTTTTTCTGTCTCAGCACATGAAGCTGAGGTAGCTGAATGTGAGACTTGATAGCAATGCGGGAGTTGCTGCACTGGAGTAAACCGTGCCTGGAGGAGGCCTTTTTGCTTTTAAAGAGCCGAACATAAAAAGGGGGCACAGTGCCCTTCACCCCCGCTCTCCCAACAATGAGAATCTAGGCCCAGGGTACCAAAGGCCCTACTCAAGCCTTTACCTGTGACCTTCAGGAGACGACAGTATGGTTGAGTCCAGTAAGAGCATCTGTGTGCAGAGCCCTAAAGGAAGCATTGTGAAGAGGTGCAAAAACTCAGGCCCTGTCCTGGAAGATCTCAGTCTAGAAGGAGGCACGTAAGCACACGACCACAGTATAAAGCCCAGTGCTACGTGGGATGGCTGCAGCAGTGGGCCTGAGATGGAGGGTGTTAGGCTGAGTGTCGATGCAAGTGGGAGGGGTCAAGGACCCAGGCCCCTTATATACAATGGGAAGCTGGGATTGGACTCCTTACATAATTCCAGGAACCGGAAGGTAGTATGTTGTCCTTGAATGAGGACTAAAAAAATGCTGTCCTCAAACCAATAGGCAAGGAACTGTCCATCTTGGACCATTAGTGAAAACAGAATCACACTCTAAAAACTATCTCTAGCTGTAGGATGGGATGGGGCTTGATTTTGCACTTCCTGCTAGATATTGGAAACCCTGATCCAAGAAACTATTATAAAAATAGTTCTAGAACTGGAGAAACCTGTAGGGCCCTAGAAGAAGCAATGGAAAAGTGACCCCATAGGGATGCCTCTGTATTTGCATAGGACTCCAACAGAAGGCACCTACTGAAGATGTGTTTGCAGAGAAAAATGGCAAAAGACACAGGGAAAGCCACTGTCATGAGAGATTTGACTGCTTGGGGACAGGAGGATGTTGTGGTGTGCTGCCTTGATCACAGACCCACTACAGGATGGAGGCAGTCATCCCCCCCATTTGTAGAAGTGACAGCTCTCTCTTCCACAATCCCTTCATCACCCCAAGCCCCTTCCCACCTCAGCATGACACACAGCCTCTGTGGGAAAGCTGCCAGTGTTTTGTATCCTTGCACTGTCTTTTCCTCCCTTCGCACCTGCCTGATGCCCGTGTACCCTGCAGGACTTAGATCCAAGATCGCTGCCTCAGGGAAGCCACCCCTCATATATGCTTTCCTGGCATTTATTTCTTCCTTCATAGCTCTTATCACACTTGTGGCAATTGTATTGACGCAATTCTAAAATTCATATATTTTTCACATTTTAATCTTTCCGGAACTGGCAGGTATCTTGCAATTAATGGTGACTTACAGCTGTGTGATACAATTAATGGAATTTTAGATTTGATGAAATTGAGTAAGTATTTATCTGTAGAACACTTAACATCTGCCTCTCCCACTAGAGTTTTTGTGCCATGAGGGCAGGGCTGTGGTTTCTTGTCCCCCCTGTATCCACAGTGCCTAGCACAGTGGCAGGCATGTAGTAGATGCTCAGTAAGTATATGTGGACTGAATGGATGGATGGGGGATGGTAAAATTGGACTTTGTATTGAGGATCCTGAATTTGCCTCTCTTGATGTCAATGTCCAGATTTGATGAGTTCATGTTTTTTTCCTTGATTATATCCTTCAAGGCTTTGAGAGTTTTCTTTTTTTTTTTTTTTCTTTTTGTCTTTTTTCGTGACCAGCAACGGGATCGCAACCCTCGGTGTCGCGCCCACACCGCTCTCAACCAGTGAGCGGACCGGTCTCTATATGGGATCCGAACCCTTGGCGGGAGCGCCGCCGCGCTCCCAAGCGCCGCACTCAACCGAGTGTGCCACTGGGCCGGCCCGAGAGTTTTCTTAAAGAGAACTCAATCTTTGTCTTAATACTTAGTACTTAATTAATTCAGACTTAAGGGTAACTTAATCTTTGTCTTTACAGGCTGAAGAGATTTACAGCTTGGTATTGCTTCATGTAGAAACCTCTTCATCCTCTTGGTCATTTTAGTTTTCCATCTCTCGGCCCTTTGCAATTGTCTCTATTGTCTTTCTTGAGTTGGGATGAGATAATGTTTTCTGATTCATTTCCTGTCCCCTTTCTTATAATTTCCTGTATTTAGCTAATACTTTTGATTGCTGTAGCCAGGGAGGCTGGTATTTAGGAATAATAATCTCTGTGTTTTCTAAAAAGTTCTGCTTTAAAAGATTATACTACTTCAGACCTCCAGGGTCCTGTGGAAGTGTGCGGGAACTCTGCAGGACTGCTTAGAGATCAGATATGGTTGCTTTTGTGAAAATGACTTATTCCTATCCTTACTTTTTCTTCTCTCTAAGTTATATGTCATTTTCATTAAGTAGGATTAAATTTATGCAAAAGTGCAATAAGGGATCATGCCCAAAGTAGAATATAGAGTGTATACGAGTGTTGCTACTTATAGCTGGGAAACATATTAGAGTTGTTTTGGGGTATCCTGGGAAAGAACATAATAAAATGGAGAATAATTTTATTCCAACCATCCCCACTCTTATTGCCTAAGTGCTATTGCTGTCATTATTATCATTAATTCATGTTCCATATACCTCAGATTATTATACAAACTTTTAGATATATAAAATTTTTTCTTTATTACCATTTGACATTTATCATTAAACTTACAAAAATTTATTGTCTCACAAATTCATTTGTTCTAATATAAAGGTTATGTGACCTTAACAATTTTTGAAAATTAACTGATTAGTTTACTTTCCAGGAGCTTAAATGAGAAGTCAAAATCTATCATCTATACTTAGCATATTACTCATATTATTTCTCCCCAAAGGCATTATATTCTTCTTTCCAACAGTGAAGGTTCTGGCCAATTTTTTCCGGCTCGCCTGCATGTTGATGACATCTTCATTCCACAGTCTTCCTGCCGTGCATTCCTTCCTGTTACTCTGAAAGTTCCTGGCCTGCAAGAGCTTAGTGTTGCCTGGAAACTTGCGGGTTTCCTTATGCTCTGCCTCTTTTGGGTTACTTATGAAAGAGCTCAACAGGATGGTTATATCCTGATCTCTGGCAATGCTACTGTTTTTATTTATTATTATCTAAAAAGTGCCAAAACATAACAAAACATTTCTACTTATCTTTTAGTACCTACTTAAAAAGTAACAATATATTTGCAATAAAAGATTTTTTGAATCTAAAAAATATGTACAAATTTCATACTACCTGTGGGAGGACCAATGAATACTTGATAAATATTATTAACACAGTAAGAAATTTTTAAAAAGAACAGCAAATTTCACGTATATTAAGTTTCCCTCCTCAAAAACGTTTCTTACTTCTGGTTCTCCCCCTGCTTCCACTGCCTCACCCCCGTGAGGGGCCATCTTCTTCTTTCTAGTCTCTTCTCCTTCTCTAGTGCTAAGAGTGGTGGCTGCTGTTGATGACAGGCCCTGTGATGTTACTTTCATGATCACATTTAAACCTCATAAAAGGGGGCTTAAAGATGAGGAAACCAGGCTCATAGAGCTCAACATCTGTGAGTGTCCAGTCTAGGTCAGGCTCTCTACTAAGTGCCATCTGTGCATTATCTCATTCAATCCTTAGAGCGACTATTTTACATTTTACCGAGGACTAAATCATAGATTTAGGTGTTCCATACTTGCCCACAGTTACCTAGGTCAGGCTCTCTACTAAGTGCCATCTGTGCATTATCTCATTCAATCCTTAGAGTGATTATTTTACATTTTACCGAGGACTAAATCATAGATTTAGGTGTTCCATACTTGCCCACAGTTATAAGCGAGTAAATAGTGGAGTTAAATATTTAGACCATCTCAACCACTAAGCCACACTGCTATTATTTTTAGGATTGTTACTACCACTATCTTTAGTTTACAGATGGGGAAACTGAGGCATGGAGCAATTGAATAATATGCCTAACATCACCAGCCTAGTAAAAGGCAGAGTCAGGATCCACACCCAGATCTTTCTGATCCCACAGCCCTTGTTGTGGGCACCACACTCGGTTGCCTCTGTTCTGACCTCACCGACAGTGTACTCTGTCTGTGAATTGTACCTCGCCCAAGCCCTCCCTGAACACCGATGCTTTATTCTTGCTATTCCTTTGCTCAGAAACAGTCTGTGTCTATTTCCTAGGCCTGCAGTCTTTTATTTACTTCTGTATTTGGACTTTTAAGGCCCTCTGAGGTCCACACCCCTCCCTGCCCCATTCCCACAGTGCCCAGAACTGCTCGGTGAGCCTGTCTCCCTCACTATCCCACCAACATTCCAGACTTCTGTCTCTGGTGTCTTTCAACTTGTTTCCTTCATCACTTCAGCCAGCTCTACCTGAATACCTGTGCTGTACTGGCAGGGTCTGGTGGAAGGCCTGAAATTCCCTACCTTGCCAATCCACCTTCTCTGCACTGCTTGAGGCACCCGCTCTGGGCAGCCCCCTGCTCCCTCCTCCTCCCTTGCTGTGCCTCTCATCTGAACTCCCTCCAGACATAGGGTGCAGTGTGGAGCCTCCATATCCAGTCTTGTGCATCTCAAGTCATCAGTGAACTCCATGTCAGAAAAGACCCTGTAAGAACAATACTGATCATATACTAGTTGCTTGATTGCTAGGCATTGGATGAGTTATTGATCTGTGATAACAGTGCTTTCCCCCTCAAATCAAATTGTCTGTTATGTTAATTCTGAGTCCAGAAAAACAAATTTTTGAAATGTTGATTTATGGGAATTTTTTAAAGTATGTGTTATTGTGCTTATTTTAAGGACTAGTAAAACTGATCTTAAACTGTCACTGTTCTCCTAGTAAATGTCCCTTCAACGGTGATGGAAGCCATGTGCAGACAGGACACCCTGCAGCCCTTCAGCAAGAGCAGCAAACTCTCCCCAGCCACCCAGCAGCGCTCCGTCGTTTTCCCACAGACTCCGTGCAGCAGGAACTTCTCTCTCCTGGATAAGTCTGGGCCCATTGAATCAGGATTTAACCAAATCAACGTGAAAAACCAGCGAGTCCTTGCGAGCCCGACTTCCACAAGCCAGCTCCACTCGGAGTTCAGTGACTGGCATCTTTGGAAATGTGGCCAGTGCTTTAAGACTTTCACCCAGCGCATCCTCCTACAGATGCATGTGTGCACACAGAATCCAGACAGGTAACCCCAACTCTACTGCTCACAGTGTGTTTACTTAGTGAGACCCACTGCTTGCCTTCCTTCAGCTTCCCAGCATCACCTCAGCACACCTCAAGGAAAACCCTGTGAAAAGAGGTGTCTGCGTTCTGCAAGGTCAGAGAGTAATAGGCCAGTGTTTGACTTTATTGTTTATAAGGGATGCCCGAACAGGTTGGTGGCTGCAGAGAGAAATCTGCACTTGCTATCCAAACAGTTCTGCCCAAGTCTAAAAGGGAGCAGAATCAAAGGAACATTTATGAATATCACAGATGGAAAAATGAGGTCAGGATAATTAGAATCCTCTCTGTCTTCCAAAGATAATATAGCTGGCTGCTGTGCAGCAGTCACGGTCATTTCAGGGTTCACTCCACTGTGCCGTGGGTATGAACTTAATTAAGTACTAAGAGGTAATGAATTGGAATTTTTTGCTTAGTACTATTTTTCTTTAGAGCATGCAAACCCATAAATCCTGCAAAGCTGTCAAAAGGAAATACCTACTCTGCTAGTGATGTGGAGGAAAACAGATGCCACTTATTCAATAAACTAATATCCACAAAGAAGAAAAATGTTGACTAGATACCTCAGAGTCAAAGTTGGTTTGAAAGTTTGTCAATAAAGAATTTTATGGCCATGAACTGAAGATGAAATTTAGCTGAACAAGTGAATTAAAATTTCAGGTACTCTGACGAGTGGCACAGTAGATATAATGGAACTATTATTTATGAATCAATACCGGTTTATTTGACAGTCTGGATAGCTGGGAATGCAAAAGACAAAAATCAAATTAATTCAATAAGAAAGAATTGCATGTGTTTTATCTGTGAAAACTTCGTGTCCTGTGAAAACTTGATTAAAACCAAAATATCTTAGAATAGCATTGAAAATGCATTTTGAATATAAAAGCAGAAAGTAATTTTTGTAACTAGGATAGGAAAACTTGGAAGCAGGACTCTCGAATTAATTTTGTAATTTTGCCACTGATTAACCTTAAGCAAATCACTTGGCTCTACTTGCCTAATGATATACACCCAGCTTTTCTCTCCCAGCTCTGCATGATACAACGAGCCTAGAAAACTCAAGCAAGGGCAGGGAGGGTGAAGGTGTGGTGGAGAGGGGATGGATAGTTTCTAAAATAATAATGATCAGTTTTGGGGTACATATGCAAATTTACATGTGTACACATTATTCTTTGTGCCATTCTAGAATCCATTCGCTTATCATCAAGCGTTGCTATAACTGATTAATGTTGAAATATTTACATTTGGGCTGATAAGGCAGCTGTTTCTTCACAGTCTTTTATTTTCAATAGGACAACCCCCCTGGTGAAAATATCAACCAACTTCTGCATATCTTAGAACTATTGGCTGTAGAGGTGATATCATCAAGCGTTGCTATAACTGATTAATGTTGAAATATTTTACATTTGGGCTGATAAGGCAGCTGTTTCTTCACAGTCTTTTATTTTCAATAGGACAGACCCCTGGTGAAAATATCAACCAACTTCTGCATATCTTAGAACTATTGGCTGTAGAGGTGATACAAAAGCTTGAAAATATTTTCCTCATTCAGAAAGGATTTTTTTAAAGTTTGCTTTCCTTGCAAGTATACATATAGCCTCAAGATATATCCATTCTAAGTTTGCAAAGCATTTTAGTAGTTTTTTGATATATAAAAGATGCATTAAAATCTTACTGTAAATTTGCTTTTTAAATTGACTGAGTTGGGGTCTATTATCTGCAAAGGTTTATTGCAGTCATAATAACTGAACATGCCAGGTTAAATGAAATGATAGTTGAAAGTTCTGGATACTGGAAATCCAAGTTTAGCTGTGAGTATGATTTGATTTTATGTGGAATGTCACATAAAGCAATGCAACTGTTTCATGGTAAATAGAGAGATACTGCAATAGACTGTTGTATCTGACTCCGGTTACACTTAGAAAATCATACTTGTGCATTATAGTTTAAGTTCCTATGAAGTCTGTCCTGGAAAATTATACTATTGTGTCATAATTTGTAGCACAAATTATGTTAGGACAGTGCTGATTCCAAGCTAATTTAGAGTTATTGGCAAATAGAGTAATTGGCAAATCTAGGTGGCACGAGACTCCCGTCCTATGCTAGACCCTGACGGGCTTGACTCAGATGCCCAGGTGTGGTGTGGCCAGCCTTCCCAGATAAGGCAAAGGAACGGGTGCTTGTTATCTGGGGAATAGCCAATGCGAGACCAAATTACTCAAGCAGTGGGTTCCTGCTTTTCCCTTCTCTGCACTTGTTGTGAAGACTTGAGAGGAGGCTTTTAGTCTTTGGCAGTATGTGCCCATTCAGTTATATATAGTGCAAAACCTTAACAGCTGAATAGCCAATGCGAGACCAAATTACTCAAGCAGTGGGTTCCTGCTTTTCCCTTTTCTGCACTTGTTGTGAAGACTTGAGAGGCGGCTTTTAGTCTTTGGCAGTATGTGCCCATTCAGTTATATATAGTGCAAAACCTTAACAGCTAGAGACTGTTTCCCTTCTGTTTGAAAAACTCAGATGATTTTATTTTGATAGGAAAATCTTGCTAGAACCAGAGGTGAGAAAGGGAGACAAAGAAGACAAAGTCAGAAGGTAAACAGGTTAGAGTTTCAAATAGGTCCAAATCTGAAACAGACCCTTGAATCTGAGGTCCAAAAGATTTTCCACTCAACAGGCTGAGTATTTGGCCACAAAACCCCAGACATTTGAACCTTTATCATCTTTGCGTGTCTATGTGAGATTTTTTCATGTGAGGTACCATCAAAAAGTTTGTGCCTTAGTATGAAGGAAAGAGATCTGTGGATACAAAGGGATGCCAGCATTACTGTCTTTGACCACTGCGTTATTCACATTGAATACAGAAAAAAATGTGTTGGACCTGGCAAGGTAGGAATTAGTAGTAAAGATATAAACACATCCCTGAGGGTGCAGGAGCCATGGAATTGTTATTTCTTGATTTTGTACTTTAATATTAAACAAACAAAACCAAAAATCCCTTCTTCCTTTTACCCAGGCTACTAACATTTTCTTTTCCTGAATGAATTCAATGGGGAGAAGCTGTTGGAATCTAGAGCAACCAAGCTTTTATTTAGGGACTTCATAAACAATTGGGATTTTTGCATAAGCTTATTGCTTAGGTGAGGGTAGCTTGACTCACTTTTGCTTGAACCAGGAGTTAGAAATCCCTTTTCTCTTCTGTTTTTCTGCTGCAGAAACTCTCCACAGTCCCATTGGGGGGGCTCCAGAAAGGGGTAAGCAAAGCCTTCAGTCACAGTGGATTATTTTCTGATAAATATGTTTTATTTTATTTTCCACAGAAAGTGTCTTTATAATGCTTATCTTTATTTTGCATCTTTTTCTTTTTCCTTTCTACTTTTCGATTGTTTGTGCCACATAAGGACAGTCTGCCTTCAGCCTCCTGGGCACACTGTCAGCTGTTCACATTTGTGTTTTAAGTGTCATTGTTTGTAACTGGATGTGGCAGTACCAGAGGGGAAAATGACTTTAGTAGGTGCTGTTTGGTGGGAGGAGCCTGGAGATAATCCATCACTGTAATAATTCCTTGGAATGTATCAATGTTCTTGTGATCTGCTCTTTCTCCCTCCTTCCCCCAAGTGTGAAGGATATCTTCTTTCTAGCTTTCAATGTTCTCCAAGCCCCTTGGTTCTGCACTTCTGCCATTTTCCTGAAATATTTTTCTCCTTACTTAGAGCTAAGTTCTCTTCTCACACAGCCAGCAGTGATCTAAGCAGTCTCTCTTTGAAGTCGTGGAAGATTTGCTCTTGGGCTGGCTGACAGTGGAACAAGGAGAGAATGTGGCCCCAAATGAACAACTTTGGTCCTGGAGGTCATGAAAGAAAAATCAAAGAAGGATTAATAATTTTAAACCAAACCACACTTAATTTTGTTAAATGTTTCATCCTCTTCCTGTGTGTACAGCAAACCAATTACAGACTCAAAGCAAATGAATTGCACATTTTACTGGAGTAATCTTTGGCAGAGGAGCTGCCAGTGACAGAGAATGCCAGGGGACATACAAAATTATCTTGCTGCTTTCTTTCTGCTTAAAAATTTATCAGCATTGATATACACTAACTAAATCAACCCAGGCATTGTTTTTCAGTTATTTCTTTATTGAGTCAGGAGCACCTTCTAGTTTTTCTGGAAGCTTGACATTTCTGTGTTGGAACTAGCCACATGAGGCTATTTAAATTAAAATTAACCAAAACTAAGTAAAACAACCCTCCAGTTTCTCAGGTGTGGTAGCCACATTTCAAGTGTACACAGCTGTGTGTACCTTGCCTGGTGGCTGGCATGTTGGATAGCTCAGGTATAGAACATCACTGTCACTGGGCAACACTGCTAGAGGTGTCAAGTAGTAAAACAGCCACAAGGTACTTGTGGTCGTGAGACGTTATCCCTCTATGAGGAATGCTCACTGTCCTTGCTTTGAGAAGAGTGAAATGCCGTCTGTCTATGATGATTTGGGGAGAATAACGTGCTTTTGAAAGGAGATTCCCATTTAATTGTGCAGTGTTGTGAGATCCTGGAAAAAGTAAAGCTAAACACAGCACTTGTGGATGTTAGTGCTGATGTGCTTCTTCTGGAATGACACATCAAAGGGAGAAGAACTTTGGAGTTGACATAGATTTTAACCCAAAGTTTAATATATTGAGTCTTACCTGTTGGACAGACCTTAATTAAAAAATTAAGGGAAATGTTAGTTGTCAGGATAAAAAGCTGAATAATGACAAGTAATTCTGTGCCAAAAGGCCCTTTGGCTGCAAAGTGAGAGTTAGGGTGTGCTAACAGAAACATGTGCACAGTCTTAACTCCTGTGGCCAGTTGTCCCGAAAGAAGTTGTGATGCCTGAGATTCCAAAGTGGTGATAAAGTTTTCTAAACCCCCCTCAGAAAGAATAATCTTTCTGATTATTTCTTTTTATTCATTTTTAAAAGAAATATTTAAAAAACAGGAGAAGAGGATTTAAAAGAATCTTATCTACTTGTCACGTAACTTCTGCACTTTCTAAGAACTAACTTTCTATAAAACTGAGAGAGACACTGTTTTATTACAGTGGCAAGTGAGGTATATGCTTTAATCTAAATTCTACATAAAATCAGTCTCTGCAAAAGTGAATGTGACCAGATAGTTTAAAATCTTATTTGCTTTTTGAGATTGACTAAAATAAGGTCTGGTTCTACATTTTGGTACTAGATTTTCTTGTTGCTCTGAATTCTCACCTTTTTACCAGTATGTAGAAATTTTCCATATTCTAATGAGTGTGTACATACATACAGACACACACAAGTCATGGAAAGCTCCAGGTACAGGGAACTGGCTAGCACACATGGTGGAAGATGGAGATCATATTGGTGAAGCTGTCTCTTGTGAGGCTGTGTGTCGGATGGATCCTCAGGCAATGCACATTTGTCAGTTACCTGAAGGCAGGAACAAAGCCTGATGGAGTGCAAGAGAGCATCCCCTTGACCTGATAGATGAGAAAACATAGGTCAGGGAAGGTGAGTGACATGTCCAAGTCCCACTGCTGATCGGTGTCAGAGGCTAAAATGGGACTCTCCTGTTCTGTCCTGTTCTAAGCCGTTCCATTCAGTCAAGCTGAATTCTGCAAAATTTTTAAAACTGTGCCATGTAGGTCAGTGGATCCCTAGCAAGTACCTCTCGGGTCAGTGCTGGGCAAAGGTGACATTTTGGAATACTATCATTGGTGTTACCTTGATACAAGAATTCAGCATTATCCTCTCTGTGGTCATTGCTGCTCTTCTGTGTGTAAATCTTTGCCAATGTGACTATTTACATAAAAAGGATGGATTGACTTCTGACTGTGGGAAATAAATCACCCCAACTTTTGACAGCAGAGTCAGAAAAAAAAAAAAGAAAAGATTAATTGGTTTTATTTAGTGGCTTATTGTTTATTGTGATAGGTTTTAAAAATAGATAACCAGAGGCTAATAAATGTTAATGGTCCCTTCACTATTAGAAAAATCAATTGTCAGTGGACATAGCATATATTAATATATTATTTTGTTTATAATCATCAATAACATTTTTAAAAATTCACCCCTGAGAGAATTATTCTTGGAGGAATCCTTAAAGGTTATGTTTACTACAAAGAATAGATTTGGCAAGAGGATATTTTCATCTACATATAATTGTAATGGCTTTGAAAGCATTATTTTATAATTGTAATAACATGCATGTGTAATTTGTCAAGATTGATAAACTCCTTACCAAGGACTCTTATATATTTCTTTGAAACTTGTTTGAGAGCAGTTAGATAGATTTCTAAATGTAAGTAATTAAAATTGTATAGTATTGAGTTATTGACCAATCCTGGACTATTAATCAAGCTAAAAAATTCTACAATCAGTGCTCAGTGTGCTGAAGCCTGGTAAAATAATAATGTTTGTGTTCAGCGAGGCAAGTAGCCACAATTAAGCACTTCACTTGACAAATGAGAGGCTACACTTTATTTTGCACTTAATTGAATTGTTGTACATGCTCAGTCACCATTGTCTCCCAGCCCTTCATTTTGGTTTCTGGTCATCAGAGCTTATGCATTTGTTAAAGGTAGAACAATTAAGTCTGCTTTTGCCATTGACTTTTTTTTTTTTTTTTTTTGTCCTTTTTGAGACTGGCCGCACCGTGCTCAGCCAGTGAGTACAGCGGCCATCCCTATATAGGATCCGAACCTGCGGTGGGAGCGCTGCTGCACTCTCAGCGCCGCACTCTCCCAAGTGTGCCATGGGCTTGGCCCTGCCATTGACTTTTTAAGTGCAGCCAGAAACATCTGGGCCACAAACTGGGGCTTAGTGAGTGCTGTTAGCATCCCTCACAACAGATTATTAATTTTCTGAACAAAAATTTTGATAAACAAATTAGAGCCCTGTCAAGGAATGACATGAAATAGCTTCAGATAGGGAAAACTCCCCAGGTTTTATATCACTCACTAGATTCTGCTTAAGTAAGTAGAAGAACTTCTGTAGAGAAGACAGAATTTTAATCTATTTTATGAAAACCAAAAATTGATTTACTTCTCATGAGCTGGAAAGAATGTGCTCTGATAATCTTGCTAATTATCAGGTATTTGTCACAACTTCCTTCCATTTGCTTTTGCATCACAGTCATCCTTCTGCAAGCATAGTGACATCCTGTCATTTCTGGGCAGCTAGAAATCATTTCTTGCTACTAGATTAAACTGAGGATCTGAGGTTCAAGAAAAAAGAGCCAGTGGATAAATATTTGTGGAGTGGGGTGGGAGTAGGTAGAAATTAGAATTTCTTTTCTTTTACAAAGAGAAATCTGGGTGCACATCTGTGCTCATGTGTGCAATACCAGAGGTACAGGTTAGGTACAGGTTAGGTACAGAACCTAACACACTTTAGTGTTTATTATGACACACATGTAACTAGCCAACTTGCCTGCATGTTTACCTGGTACTTGGAGTAAGGTCCAAACACCCTAGAATGACCTTGGCATTAGCGACTTATGTCCTGTGAGGACAGTTTATCCTCAGTTTTCTGAATTGACGGAGATAATAACAATTGCTTTCCCTGTCCCAGAGGATCATTGTGAAGATAAAACTAGGTAACTGATTTTAGAGCACTTTGAAAAGTTAAAAGTGCTGTGGAAACATAAGAGACAATTATATATTTTCTCTTGTAACATTCTGCTTAATCAAGTCTGTACTTTCAATGTTCACAAAAGTACACTAACTAATGTTTGCCTGGGGGTAGATTAAAAAAAAACAACAGGAAAATAAGGGTTCTTGAAATGGTATGATTAATACTCAAAAGGAATATTCATTTGGGAATTGATGTATCTCAGCAGCAATGTGAGTTTTGTTGCTATGGCAACAAGTAACATAGTGGGAACCCAGCGGCCAAAGCTCTATGCTCTTGGTCTGTCTTAAAAATTGAGAAAATGTCACCGAAAAGTTTTGGCCTCTTGCCTCATGATCCTGACTTCCACTGACCAACATAGAAGATAATGACCAGGCAGTCTCTCTATTTGTTTCAGACCCTACCAATGCGGTCACTGCTCCCAGTCCTTTTCCCAGCCTTCAGAACTGAGGAACCACGTGGTCACTCACTCCAGTGACCGGCCTTTCAAGTGTGGCTACTGTGGTCGTGCCTTTGCCGGGGCCACCACCCTCAACAACCACATCCGAACCCACACTGGAGAAAAGCCGTTCAAGTAAGTAGTGGTCAGCCCTCCACCCTTTCTTTTTCCTTGCCTTTCCTGAGAGCTGGCAGATGCGTTGGCACAGCGCTGCCTGGCTCAGCCAGCTGGTGTGCGGAAGGCTACTTGGAAGGTCAATATCCAGTCTGCAAAAGGATCTCCTTGTTTGGTGGCTGACATTTGGAAAATGAAGTAAGGAAATCTACACACTGGTCCTGGCTCAAGTTTCACAGCCTTGGACATGAGATGATCTTTCTGGGTCTGTTTTCTCATCAGTAAAATAAGGAGGTAGGAGTAAGTAATTTTAATATTCTTTCTCCAGTTCCTGAGGACCTATGCTTTTAGAATTTTATCTAGTAGCCACACAGAACTCTTATAGCCATCAGCAAGTCCCATGACCACTTGTAATGATGAATGTGCTAATAATACTGATTTGATCATCACATATTGTACACAAATAATGATAGTCAACACTGTACCCCCAAAATGTATATAATCAATTACGCTTCAGTAAAAACAAACAAAAAGAAAGGTGGCCACAAGTTTAGAACATCTGAATGAATAATCCTCCACTGGGGAACTTGAACCCTTCAGGATTCTAGTGAACTATTTCTTCTTCTTTCCCATGTGTTAAAGAGTTTGAATCTATTATAGCAGCCACTTTTTCTATTATTGCAACTTTTCAGTGTATACTTTGAACCTCAGAATTACCATGTTGTTGAAAAAAGAAAAACAAACACAGGCACATCGACTTTTTGAGGATTCATGGGCTGTGGAAAGAGGTGGAGCTGAATTCTGAGGGCTTTGGTGAGGTAAGGGCATCTAAGTGAGGAGTGTGTTCCTAGATACAGCACAGTCATGAAAACAGCGGACATCTGAATTATGTAAGATGGCCTGTTCATCTATTCATTCATTCACCCATTCAATCATGTATGTGTTCATTCATTTGGCAAATATTTATTGAGCACCTACCTTTGTACTAAGCACCCTGCTAGGCACAAGTGATACAAAGGTGAATGAGACTCAGAATCCCGCCCCCCCACTCTGCCCTGTCTTTGAAGACCTCATAGGTTAAGGGGAAGTCCAATTAATAAACAAGTATTACAACCTAGGGTGACAAGTACAACAATAGTTCATGTATGTACAATGTTTCAGAGTAGCACAGAAGTGAAGTAATCGATGCTATCTGAGGGGGATGATGTTTAAGATGTGTTTTGAAGGATGAGTAGGAGTTTGCCAGACATACAAGGGGAAAGAGGTAGTCTGGTAGCTCAAGCAGCATGTGGAAAGGTTTGGGAGTGTGAACCAGCACGCCTGACTGGTCGGTGGTCTTAGAGCAGTTTTTACTGTCCCTGTGATGATCCTCTTTTCCGCTCAACCCTCTTACATCTCTCTTTAATCATTTGCCGTACTGGCTGTCCCTGTTTGCAGAAGAAAAATTAAAAGGGCATAGAAATACAGCCTCCTTTATCTTCTGTAGGATAAGATCAAGCAAGAGAGGACATGATTCAGGCAGTAGGAGACTAATCCCCTTGCTTAGCCTCAGCGGAGAAGTCTTCCCAGAGTCTCATTATCCATGGTTTTCCTTTCCTGTCGTGCTCAGCCTGAGGCCAGGCTCAGCTCCGGGTAGCAGAGTCCTGCAAGTCTGAATCCCGCCTGCTCCAGGGTCTGCCAGCCAAAGGAGGAGCTTGTAAAAGGTCATCTTTACTTGCCTGCCCAAGAACTAGTTGCCTATTCATCATTCTTAACTATTCTCCATTATGGTTTAACTTATGATATTAATAATAAAAACAGTGATAATTTTTTTCTGTGTACATAGGCTCAGCTGGTCTGCTGCATAAGGGCATAGGCTGAGGGGGCAGGAAGGGGTCTAAAATAGAGCCTGCACTGTGCCACCAGAGCTATGCTCCCTTGGGCAAAGAGGGCACCTTTTTCTAATCCACCCTAAGGGGACAGATGGGTAACCACAGTCTTAGGAGTTCCCTAGCACTGGCATTTGTGTCCTGAGTGGTGGACTTTGTTGTTGCCCTCAGGTCTGACCCCCAGGAGGTTCAAGATTCTGGCTTTACCACTACTCTGGATGTGGAAGGTGACAGTGGCACATTTCCCATGCCTCTGAGCAAGAGAGCTTTTTAAAACAGTCGTAGGAGGACTGAGGATCCTTCTGGCCTCCTATATTGGAGAGGACAGCCAGACGGATACAGTGCCAGGAATCAGATTGATTTTTATCTTGTTGCTGTGTAAATAGATTTCAGTAATTAATTGAAGAGGTTTCAGGGTCAAAATGGGAAATAGATTTCTATTAATGTTAAGGTGTTACTTATGTGTAACCTCGTTGACTCCACTCAATTTTTTTCTTTAACATCCTGTTTTTGTCATGTTTCCAATAGAGTTGCCGTTTTAACTTAATTTTAATTCATCAGGTTAATATGTGAAGGGCTTTAGTGATTGCATTTTTTCTTTTCCAAAAGTATTTTTCTGTGACTATACCTAATTTCATCAGGGGAAAAAAAAAATTAGGAATCAACTGGGGTTGTTGTATTAGATTCTACGTGTATGTTATAGTTCCTTCTGCTCCTACTCTTATCAAGAGAGCCACATGCTGTAATTTTTTTTTTTTAATTTATCAAGTATATACTCCCAGGGGAGAGCTGAGTGTATGCTTCTTTTGAAAGTGCGAGATTTAAATGTCTTCTAGGAAATGGAAAGATAAATCCTTTAGTGTATACAGCCAGGTCTTTCAGGATTGAACTATCCCAAGGGAGTTTTGGAGATCTTCCAACCATAGCTCATAGATACTCATCCCAGGGACGTTTGTAAATATTATGAAGATATCCTTTTACAAGCTTATAAAACAAACATTAAAAAAAGCTTTTGTTGTAGATTAGTCAATAAAATGGGTTTCTCCACAACAGTTCATTTTATTACTTCAACTAATGGGTATTGGCTTAAACAATGTTGCAAAGAAGAATAAGAATCTTGTAAAGATGAACAACTCTAAACTGTACACCTTGGGCACCTTCCAAATAGATGCCCCAAATTGTCCCACCCACCAAGGCTCAGGAGGCCTTCACAGAATTCTCAGGGTGAGCTGCCATTGAGCCTGCCATGTCAGAGGAAAGCCCTTTCCAACTTCTAAAATCTGCTGAAAAGTGGGTTCTGAAGGCAGATCGAGATTATTGCCATCCAAAGAGGGCTGGAGAAGATTTGGCATTGAGAGGCCAGAGTTTCAATCCCGGCTTTGGCTAACGATCTAGTTGGCTGAAATCCCACTGAAAGGATCCATCCCCCAAGTTCTAGGCAGATGATGGGCCTGTCAGCAGCTAACCTAGGCTGTAGACTTAGAATTTCTGAGATAAAGGAGCAAATAGGAGAAATAAAAACCAAAGGATTACATTGAAGGTCTCGGCTTTCAGTTTGTTCTTTGAGGCTAGAAGTCATGAAGAACAAGGAGCAAAAGCAAGACATGATTTCATTTAACAGCAATGGTTAAGCACTTTATTGCAAAAAGGAAGGGAGGGAAGGAGGAAAGGGGGGAAGTTGGCAGTCTAAAAATTATTCTTTGCAAGGAGGACTCCTCTGAAGATTTCAGGTGGGCTGCTCTGCTCTGCTCTGCCTGGGAGGAGGATATGTGTTGAGCAGCGTGATGCCTGGCTTCTGAGCCTGAGAAGCTGCCGGAGCAAGCCGGTACTTTCCTTAGGAGGAGTTCTTCATCTTTGTTAGAAGCAGGGGGAAATATTCATCACTATGGGGTTGCCTCAAGAAAAGGCAGTTTGGATCAGTAGGAAAAAAAATCAAAGGAAATTCCAAAGGCTGTCTAATATTTGAATAAGATCTAGGCAAAATCAAAACAAATCCAAAGAGCAAATCGGTAAACATGCATTGAGCACGCCACAGGTATAAAGCCCTGTGCAATTTGGCCCAACTCAAGAAGTATTTTGGGACATGTCTTAGAGGTACAGAAAGCTTCTTGCAGGTTTTTTTGTGTAACAGAATTTTACATCATTTTGTTAAGCTCCATGCACATATGACCCAATCAACCATCACAGTAAGTAAAGAATGATCTTCAAATCTGACTAAGACTCTCATACCAGGAGAAAGTTGGGAACTTCCTCTTTTGCTGAAATATTTGGAAGACTTTCCACTTCACTGTTCTGCGATATTCCCTTCAAGGCTGTGACATTGGCACCTGTACTAAGGGAAGGCACAATGAAGAAGACCCCGTGTGCAAGAGTGTGTCTTTCCTTCTGGCTCATTGCTTCCGTCTTTCTTTCCTTCTTACTCTGGTTTGCTGCTTGAAGCCCAGGCTTAGAGGTGCCCATGCCCAGTCATCGTCTGCAGTTGTAATTCAGTTTAATTAACTGCCGACCCAGCTGGTGTCTGGCTCAGACTTCCCAGAATCTAGGTACTTTAATCGGGTTGGTCTTTCTGATGAGTTTCATTAAACAATGAAAATATATTTTGGAGGAGAATTCTCTAAAATTTAAGGTGATAATGGGCTGGCTGGTTAGCTCAGTTAATTTCATCAGGGGAAAAAAAAAATTAGGAATCAACTGGGGTTGTTGTATTAGATTCTACGTGTATGTTATAGTTCCTTCTGCTCCTACTCTTATCAAGAGAGCCACATGCTGTAATTTTGTTTTTTTTTTTAATTTATCAAGTATATACTCCCAGGGGAGAGCTGAGTGTATGCTTCTTTTGAAAGTGCGAGATTTAAATGTCTTCTAGGAAATGGAAAGATAAATCCTTTAGTGTATACAGCCAGGTCTTTCAGGATTGAACTATCCCAAGGGAGTTTTGGAGATCTTCCAACCATAGCTCATAGATACTCATCCCAGGGACGTTTGTAAATATTATGAAGATATCCTTTTACAAGCTTATAAAACAAATTGAAAGTGTGTCATGCAGTGAAAGGTAGTATATTTGACACACTAATCCAGTAACTAATCAGTTTTCTAATAAACAATCAGCAGTTCGCTAACATGCCATCAGCACTCCAGGCTCTGGAGAGGGGATGAGCTGCCCATGGACATTAATGAATACACCAAAAATCATTAGGTGATCAATACTTCTGAGTTATTTTCATTGAGTTGATAGGTCTGATACATTAAAGCTGACATTATACATTTGTCAAGATCACAGTGCAGTTTTTAACAGTGGAACAGGCTGCTAAAAATATTCCCCGAAAGACAATCAAAGAAACACAACTTTTTCACCCTGACACACTCAGCTGGTGTAGGAGCCCTGAAAAATTCAACCATGTAGTCAAGCTCCAGCCTCCCAACAACCAAGAAAGACAATCAAAGAAACACAACTTTTTCACCCTGACACACTCTGCTGGTGTAGGAGCCCTGAAAAATTCAACCATGTAGTCAAGCTCCAGCCTCCCAACAACCAAAAACATGCAAGGATCCCCAAAGTGGATGGGTGTGTTCTATTTTTATAGGTAATTACTTCTGTGACAGGGCACTTCCTATAATTTACTAAAGAGGAGAAAGAGAGGAATGCCCTCCAGATAATGGGGTGTGAGGCTTCCTTGTCTGCGATAGGGCAGTGAGGACTTTCTCATGGTGGCTTTGCTGCAGCCCCAATAGTGCCAGACCTGAGTACCAGAGGTTGCATTATTTAAAAGAGGGACAATTGTCTGCAGCACCTCCTGAATATCTTTTCCTTCAAAGGTTTGAAGAGAGGACATTAAGGGGAGGGCTGTGGTGGCCACTGCATCCTAGCAGGTGCTGGGCCAGATGAGTGAGTTGGTGACGGGGAGGTCACTCTCTGTGCCCAGCTTGCTGTCACAGTTTGTGTGTGTGTGTGTATACGCCCAATCACACACAATCAGCCAGAACAACCACCACCGCAGATAAACGTGAGTCTCCCCCCCCACCGCCACTAGATTTTGTGTGTTTTATTTTTTGTATATTGGGTAGCCTCAGGCTAGGAAGTGAGGGTTCTCATGGGATATATGGATATGGGAGATAGAGACTGGCCCAGGGACTATAGATTACAGTCATTCATTCTTTTTCTTTTTTAAATTAAGGAGAGGAGATATTTTTGAAATGTAAAACCAGTTTTCTCCTTATCAGACATGCTGGCCCTTAATTATGGCCCATATGTACACTATTCTCACTGTACTTTCTAGAGAGGTGAACCTCTTGAACCACACAAATATCCACTGAGTTCCAGTTTTTCTGAGCTCCGCACCCCACTGCAAACCCTAGTTTTGTAAATTGTTTTAGCCCTAAGTTTTGTTGGGCTGTGACATTGTAACTAGCTTTTGCAAAAGGCAGCCACCCCGGCCCACCACCCATAGTCATGGCAAACTAATGTATTGTTTCCTCTAGTTTCCACATTCCAGAATGACTGCTCTTTGGTTGCTATGCTGAGGGGAGTAGGATTCCCTATTTTAAATTAGCAGCAGGTGAAATTCTATTTGTCATCAATTTCTCTTTGGGGTTACAGAGCAGAAAACTGCAGACAAGCTGCTTCTTTGATGGCTCACTCCTAAAAATCTCTTTTTGTTCTTTATCTATTTGAACTGACAGTGATCAGAGCTGCGGCAGGACAGGGCTCTCTGGAGAAATCACCTTCCCCCTGCCTATTGACAGATCCCTCTGTTCTGCATCAGACGGGCTTTGTCCCATCACAGGCATCCAGGCCTTGGAAGGAGCCACCAATTAAACCTCTTGAGCCGGTAAAATCTGAAGCCACTTTGGAGTGTCTGTTCTGATTAGGCAGGATGAGAGGAAGCCCATCACCCTGCGGGCCCCACTCCCTGGTCTCAATTTTCTCTCTTGCCTCCACCAGGTGCGAGAGGTGTGAGCGGAGTTTCACGCAGGCCACCCAGCTGAGCCGACACCAGCGGATGCCCAATGAGTGCAAGCCAATAACCGAGAGCCCAGAATCAATCGAAGTGGATTAACTGATTGACTGGTTGGAATTAAACTGCAAGGAAAGTCATGATTAAATGTCACGGACACTTAAGCAAAACCAAAGATTTCCTCGGAGCAACTTTCAATCAGTCCCAGAAAACCAAAAGCAGTGATAAAATAAGTAAGATGTTAAGAGATATTGATCCTGGCATGGAAGTCAGACCAGGAAAGAGATTATTTATTTATGACTAGGGATGAGACTTATTTCAGTGGACAACTAACCTGGGATGGCTAACATTTCCAGTCCCAACATGTATTTGCTTTGTTTCTAAAAAGCTTTTTAAAAACTGTTATTTAATACCAAAGGGAGGAATCGTATGGGTTCTTCTGCCCACAGTCGTGACTAAGAATGCACAGGAACTTGGTTCTCGTTGCACCTTTTTTTAGTAGCATGCTTCAAGGGGACCCTTTGTACAGCCTTTCTTCCTGCTGTCTCAGTTTGGCCTGGCCTGATGCCAGCTGCCCCAGCGGGAGCCGTGGAAGCAGAAGCAAGAGCCTTGGCCACGTCGTGCTGTCTTCACCCAGAGGTGGTGTCCTGTGTCCCTGTTTTCCACGCTCATTCATGCACTTCTCATGCGGCGCCTTCCACGTAGCAGCCTGGTCTTGGTGCAGGACAGCCTGGAGTAGGAAGAAGATGGTTCCAATTTGAAAAGGCAAAGGAAAAAGTGGGGAACTTATTCTGTTCTGTTGGATTTCAAAAACATTTAAGATGTACGGAGCTTCATAATACAGTATATCGTTCCGAAGCAGCTAGTTGAGAAAATTTTGTTTTCAATAACATTTTAGCTTTAAAAAAATGGAAATGAAAATAAAGTTCTTTGGTCTGAGGCTGAACGTGAGGTATTAGGCTTCAAGTAATTTTTTGTTGTTTCTGTGAAAGTGTTGAATATGTGATCAAAATAGTACCAAACCCCATTGTCAAGATCCTTTTAGCAGTTTCATCTTCCTTCCTCATACAGGTGAAGCCTGGGAGGCCCCTTCCCCACTCCTGAGTGTGGAGGAGCACTTCTGCAAAAATAGGTGAAAATACTGCAGACAAGGAAACATTGGGAGGAGAGCCAAGGTGAGGGTGGTGGTTAGAACAGATTGCCCAGGAGCAGCTAATTTTATCAAAAGGAATTACCTTTTCTTCTCTGGAAGCTGATTAATTGAAAAAGAAAGAATTATGTACACAGTTTCACTCTGATGGAGGGCTTGGAAAGTGAGTTTAACTCAGTCTTTTGGTAGTTCAACAATGGTGTTCCTCAAAATTGGGTCGCATTCCACGAAATGAGCTAGTGTCAGTAAGAAATGATGGCTTCTGTGGCTCTTGGTCCATTAGCTCCCAGAAGCATCTCAGAGACTCAGTCTGCCTAGATGGCCAGTTTAGGTAAAACTCAACCGTTTTACCAAGAGTGTTTAATAATAGCAATTTCTGTTCATAGATTTTTTGGTCACCCGATAGTAGAACACAGCCTTTTAAGGAATTTCTTATCTTTGAGCCTTTACATTGTCTTCCCTCATCAAAAATATGAGACAAAACTGAATTCACTGCTGAAAGGGAAGGATTCTTTGTGTTTCAGTTTAATCTACCATTATGTATTCGGTTCTCAGAAAAATCTTCCTTCCCTTTTAATTTTGCTTCTCTGTCTCTTAGTACCCAACTGACACATTTAAAATGGGAAACAGGGCCTCATTAATTGTGTTTGTAGTTATATATATATATATATATGTATATATATATATATATATACACACACACACACACACACACACACACACACACGTGTGTGTGTATGTGTGTATATATAATATCAGAATAATCTTGAGGACTGTGGGTCACAGAGAGAAATTCAGCTAATTCTGACCTCCATTGCCCAGTCTCACATCATTCACGTAGAATTTCCCCCAGTTCTTGTTGGCTGCTCGTTATTAATCAATCTGTGCTGCTGTGTAACTGTTCCTCATTGAAAGTATTCTCTCTGATAGGTAGGAATGCCTTCTGACTTTACAGTTCCCTGCCCTAAGTGATGGAGACATTTGCCAGCAATGTGTCACTGGGAAGGGTGGAATGAACATGTAGAAATATTGACCTGAAACCTGCAAGAAAATGACAGATCAGCTACACAGATGAGCAAGTTGTTCCACTTACTGAGGTTGAAACATTTGCTTGAACTTTTTGAAAATGATAGTAAGGGACTCACCTGTATGTTTCTAATGTTTTCAGAGAGAACCATCAGCTCAGCCATTGACCTCATTTTACAATTAAACACATGTGCCCCACTCAGTTCTCATGAGCTCCACATGTGAGAACGAGAAGCCTTCACTCCTCCCTTGATATCTGGCAAAGGAAGAGTTTCTATAACAGTGATCTCTCTGCCACCATGTGGCTTTGCTAGCTGATCCCAAACACCCACTGGATGTGGTAGTAACTGCTACACCAAAAGATTTTTCTAGCATTCTGCTCCATTGAAGTTCGTTTTTCTTCTCTATTATTAAGAGAGATTTTGGCATGTATATTCCACCAAATTAGGTCAGAAAATATTTTCTGCTTAATGAATAGAAAATTGGATACTCTTAATTTTTCCAGGTATTCGGGGACATTCACCATTTTCATGTTGCTGAGCCTTTGCCAGCTTCTAGAAGACCAACATAGGCCACGTCCATATGACAAGCCTACACCTGCAAATTGGTGTCACACCCTGAAGCAGATACTGAGATCACTGGGTCCCTAATGCTTTTAATCAAAGTACAAGGGTACTTCAAAAAGTTTATGGAAAGATTCATATTATCTTTTACTTTATTTTTCCATGAACCTTTTTACATGAAGTACCATCGTCTAGGCTGGAGAGAGGGTTTTTCCTTGAAACTTCCCAATGATTGCTTTAATCTTTTCTGTTTAAAATAGACACATACTCCATACACAGCAAATGGGTGGTAGAAACCGCAGTCATAAAGATTTGTCAGTTTCCCTCATTGGCAACTTCCTAATTAATGGTACAGAGAGAATAAAAGCTCTGAATCATTGAGGAAAGAGGATATCTAAGATGAGAAGGGTAGACTATCAGAGCTGAATCAAGGTTTGGCTCTTGAAGCAATCTTTATTTTCTCTTTTATCAATGAGGACAGAATAATTTTTTTTTTTTTCAGGATAAGACTTTCCATCCTAGCATACGCTCACTTGTCTAGCTGAGTGTAAGCCAAAGGGTAATGCCAGGTAAAAGTCAAGGTGCAAGAAGATGAGGGCTGAGGCTTTAGTCCATCACTTTTCTAGAAAAATCTCAGTGACCTAGGACAAAGCTGAATATTTTCCCTAGGAAATGTGCATTTTTCTTTTTCTTGGCTGATAAGCTTTTCATTTTGGTTTTGTCTTTACTGTTAAAATTGACTTTTTTTCCAGTGGATATATGCTTTTACCAAGTTATTGTGTGGGTAGTTAAAGCTGTAAAGAAATCATGTATAATTTGTATAATTTGAATTAATTAGTACATTTTTTTTTTCGAGTGTTCATTCAATTGTAGCCTTGTCAGAAAACTGTGTATAACAAGAAAAAGTCTACAATACCCTTCTGTCCTCACAGGGCTTATAATTTATTGGATTGTACCTTGGAAAAACTTCTTTCTAATCTAGATACACAAAGGTTTATAAACAATTACAAACAGATGAAATTTTTTCATCAGTTGATTTATTCATTATTTCATTCATTTATTCAACAAATATTTATTGAATTCTTGTTTTGTATAAAGACCTATTTTAGGTGTTTGCGATAAGCAGATTATTTAAGTGACAATTGGTGAGAAAATAATATTTTCCTCCTAAGCGGCTGGCTAGTACTGTGGGTATATCAGACCTTCAGACCATTGTCACAGTGACATTAAAGAGATTGCTGCAACTGGGAGAATGTGAGAGATGTAAACTCAGCTGGGAACCAGAAGATAGCATGTGTCAAAACAAATTAAGATGCACAACTTGGTTGTCTTTGGTTAACACACCAGGCTATTGGTTCTTAGCAACAATATCAAGAGACCAGGATTAGGGCCAGAGTCTTAGAGTTTTTAATGACCCTATTCCAGTGATAAGGCAACACATGGGAACAGGGCCGGAGTCGCTCAGGGAAGGAACTCTGCAGACCCTGAATGGGTCTGAGGTGCCTCATTGGTGACAAGCCTTGGCAATGCAGCCCCTGTCCCCATTATGTGGCTGTGGTGGTCCCAGAGGTAGGGTCTTCTTAAAAACACACTTAATTGTACTCAGGTGCTTCAGAGAGCACTATCAGAGGGGATATTCATCAGTGGTTTAAAAATAGCATTTGTTTAGTTAAGATTAGTTTTTTAACCCCACTGTTAAACTCCTTATGCACTAAAATTGGATCTTCTTCCTCAGTGGCACCATCCTCTGAGGCCCTGGGTCTCTGGCATATTATTGCAAAACTAATTGCTGGTCGTTGGTTGTTAGAGCTGTTCATGTAAGAAATTAATAGTCAATTGCCTTTTATAGTAGCATTGTTACTATATTTGTTTTGCACTAATTTAAAAAATCAAATGCAAGAATCTGTTGAAGTAATTAAAATGGGAAACATGGCACATCTCACAAAGTAGAGAATTTGCAGAACAGTGTGGGGTCAATGGGCCACTTTGAGCATACCCAGCAGCCTTGTATTTAGGAGCAAATTCCTTGCTTCCATATTAAGGCTACACATGGCTACAGACACTAGGCCAGAAATAACAAACTAAACAATTTTTAAAAAGTTAGTTTCTATTTTTCTTCCTTGATGTGAATTTAATTTTATTCCCCATAGTCTTTACCAATTCCTGACACCAAATCCTGAAAGATACTAAGAGATATGCCTCTTTAAGTGATAACAGTAGGTTCTAGAAATGTCATTTGTTTGTCAGGTTCCTTTCAATGTGAAGAACTTTGGAAATATTTTACGAAGTGACTAGATGTTGGGGTACTTATCCACCCAAAAGTTTGAGGTTTTCCCATCACTAGCATTTATCTGAACTACCACAGAGTAAAAACAGAGAGTCTGGGGAAGAGGCACATATTTCAGCCCTCCTCGAGATTGAATTCTACAAGTCCAAAGATCAGCTGTCAGATACAACTGGCCAAAGAGAGGCCATCTGAAAAGAATATCGTTTTATCTGTGGACGCCTTGCCACAGATGTTCAGCCTGCAATCCATGGTTGCATTTAACGTTTAAAATATTTAACTTCTTTTAAGTAATGGATGTCAGATGTTTCATCAGATCAATATGTAAAATGATAAAAAATCAAAAATATGTTAGAAAGTAGGGCAAAGACACGAAATGATTGAATTGTCTTTCCTTTATACTGAAGATGCTACCATTGTGCTTGGAAAAGAATCTGTTGAGTACATTTTAGTGGAAAACTAAGAAAACTAAGTTTATTCTCTCAGATATTGATGGGGATAATAATGATTGTAACTTATATTGTGCAATTACTGTCAGGCACTGTTCTAACTGCTTAACGTAGATTATCTAATTTAATCCTCAGTAACTCTGTAACAAAGATGCTATTATTATCCCTTTCTCATATATACTAAACAACCTTATCTTAGCAGCAGCTTTCCTTTTTTTCTCTCCACAAAACCATATAATTTTTAAAAAGGGAAAATACTTCTCTGTGCAAAGCTTCTTTTTGAGAACAAAAGCTTTTTAAAATTAACAAACACAAGTATAATTTGTTTATAAAATGTCTTTGTGGAAACTTCTTTCCTTTTTTTCTCCCCACAAAACCATATAATTTTTAAAAAAGGGAAAATACTTCTCTGTGCAAAGCTTCTTTTTGAGAAGAAAAGCTTTTTAAAATTAACAAACACAAGTATAATTTGTTTATAA